TCCATGCTGGGCTGGAGGTGAGGAGAGAAAGACAAACTCTTTTTTTGATGGTCAGGGGAAACTTCAAAGGGGCAACTAACACTTGAGTTTTGAAAGATGAATAGGAGGTCCTCAGATAGGCATGAAACGGGGCGATGTGAAAGCAGGTCCAGAGGCAGAAAGGATGAAAGTGATGCTCTTTACAGGGCTGGAGTCCAGGGTCCATGTAGGACAGTGGTAAAGCCGAAAAGTAGAGACGGAATCAAGAAGGCCATGGATGCTGTGCTCAGAGGCTCGCAGCTTATCCTAAAAGCAGTGGAGAGCCTTGGGTCACTTTTGTCACGAAGCATCAGAGCAGTGCTCTTACCCCAGAGCAGTCCTGTACCCAGGAGAGGTTGATAAACCCATTCATGCTGGAGCATAAATGACTCATAAGCTCTCAGGTAAAGAAAGTGAGCTCTGGGTTAGCTACAGGCGAGAAGCAACAGGTGGGGATGGTATCTGCTGAGGGAACATGCTAGATATCACTGTAGGCATGACTGGCCTTTGTTTCAGGGAAAGATGCATTCATTCATTTTTTAGAGGAGGAAGAATTAATCTCTGTTTTTGTCTTTGTCTTCAGAATTCTTCAGATCTGTCTTTGGCATCTGACAGGGACCGTTTTTTGGGGAAACAGCACCCTCTAGAGCAGCGGTTCTCAACCTGTGGGTCGTGGGGGTCGAACGACCCTTTCACAGGGGTCGCCTAAGACCATCGGAAAACACATATATAATTACATACTGTTTTTGTGATTAATCACTATGCTTTAATTATGTTCAATTTGTAACAATGAAATTGGGGGTCACCACAACATGAGGAACTGTATTAAAGGGTCGCGGCATTAGGAAGGTTGAGAACCACTGCTCTAGAGGAAAGAGTATAGGTGTTTCAGGTGGGACAGTAACCACCATTTCTGGAGCTCTGGCTTGCTCCCTTCCCAGGGGTCTGGCTAGCTGGGAGTGGAGTGTAGCTGATTATTTATCTGCTTCTGACCCTTCTCACTGCTGAGAACAAAGATGCTTGGCTGTGGGTGGTGGCACAACAGCTGGCAGCACAACAGCTGGCAGCTGCAGATAACAGCTGGAGGCAGATCTAAAGGCTGGCAACAGCAGGCACAAAGCTGGAGGTGGCAATCACAACAGTTTTAGCCAGTAGCCTACATCTCCAGTGCCCACAAGTCAGTGGCCGTGACACTAGCCTCTAGAAGCTCCAGGCCCTGTCTTCTCTATCTCAGCTGTGATCATCCATACAGGGTACCACAGAGGCACCTCCTGAAAACACAGACCCATAAGAGTGAACCTGGGGAACACAGAAGCAGTTGCTATGACAAAGTTCTGGACCAGGAGCCAGAAGATCAACTCTACCATTAACCTACTTGGGGCAAACCTCTCTGAGCCTTAGTTTCTAATGAGGCCTTTCCCATTACCTCATGGTGGGGGGTGGATCAAATTACATATTTTATAAATCGTAAAGTGCTCTGTAATCAGAGACCATTATTTTGGTAATAAGCAAGGCTTTCCTTGAGTTCCAGGAGCTTCCATTTCCCCAGATACGTAGAATCTCTGCTCAGCACAAATAAAGCTGGACTTTGATCAAGAATCCCCAAATGTCACCATAGGAAGTGTCTGGGTAGAGATGGGCAGGCATTCTGATTCTCCGTGAGTGGAAGCTTAAGGACAATCTTTCAATCTCCCAACCAAAGCTTTCATCTCCTCTAAAGCACTCAGCTAACATATCCTCGAACACCTCCAGGAATAGTGCAATCACTACCTTTTGAGAAGCTCTTTCCATATTTGGATGCACTGATTGTTACAGTGTTCTTTGTCATATCAATATAAAATCCTTCCCCCTGTGGTTTGAACTCACTGCTTCTGTTGTTTCTCTTGGAGCTCAAAGAAAAGTCCAAATCCATTCAAGTAACTGTTCAAACAAAATATTTGCACACAGTCATCATATCCCTCAGATAATTTATTTTCCTGATTAAACTTCCACTTCCTTCAACCATTTCTTATATGATCCGTTCTGAATCCTTTCCTATCCTGATTGTTCCCTGATACTCGATAGTGCAGGTGTGGGATAAACAGAGCAGAGCAGAATCATCTACTTCCTTATTCTAGATACTTTAATTCAATGAGAGTAGCCTAAGATTGCATTGCTTTTCTGGCAACCAAAACACATAGGTAGTTCATACATGATTATTTTCTGCCAAAATTTATTTCCATGGTTCTGCTTTCCAGTCCAGAACTTGCTCAGGTAATTTTGGACACAAATATGTAACCCAACATTTATCCTTTTTGTTACATTTGGCTCACTCATCTGTCTTCTTTTGGATCCTTATTCTGCCCCCGACTTTGCATTTGAGATCTGTCCCAGCTTTGTGTCATCTACGTAATTGATGGCCATGTGTAAAAGGGCAAGTCCAAAGATAAAGTTTTCTGGTACATCACTAGAAAACTGATTCCAGGCTACCATAATGCACTCACCAGTACCATTTGATTTTTTATTTTTAACTCACCTACTAGCATGCTGTTCATTTTTCTCTGTCATATCCCCAAGGACATGAGAGATCTTGTAAAAAATCTTGCTTAGATATGCTTTATCTATTGCATTTATCTAATTTGCCAATTTGGTGACCTTGCTATAGAAGGAAATTGTTAGTTTGATGTAACTTGTTCTTAGTAACCCATGGTGGGTCCTACTGATAACTGCCTTTCCCTACCCAAGTATCACAATCTTAATGCTCCATCTAGAATCTTGTCTAGGATCAATATCTCGCCTGTTTGTCTGTAGTTTGTGAAATGTACCTCATTTTTCTTTTAAAATACATTTTTTGTTTGTTTTGTTTTCAGAGAGGGAGGGAAAGGGATAGAAACATCAATGATGAGAATCATTGATTGGCTGCCTCCTGCACACCTCCTACTGGGGGATCAAGCCTGCAATCTGGGCATGTGCCCTGACCGGGAATTGAACCATGACCTGGTTTACGGGTCAATGCTCAACCAATGAGCCACACTGGCCAGCCTCCCCCAACCCCCCATTTTTCTTATGAAAATTAAAATGTTCACTCATCCACAGCTTTCCACCACCTCCTCTGTTCTCTAAGAGTTTCTAAAAATCTCTTATAGAGGTTTTCCATCTTTTTGAGAGTTTGAGGACCAAATGAGAAGGCATACTAATGTATAAACTTTAAAATATATAGATGCAGGCATTGTGGTGATTTTTAAAAAATATATATTTTTAATTGATTTTTACAGAGAGGGAGAGGGAGAGTTAGAAACATCCAGAGAGAAATATCGGTCGGCTGCCTTCTGCATGCCCCCTACTGGGGATCAAGCCTGCAAACAAGGTACATGCCCTTGACTGGAATCAAACTTGGGACCCTTCAGTCTGAGTGCTGACGCTCCATCCACTGAGCCAAACCAGTTAGGGCGTGATTGTTTCTTAATTTACTACTACTGAGTACTGAATGGGACTTTACTGGGGCTCTACATAAGAATTCTTCAAACTTCAGAATTATAGAGCTTCCCTTTTGCACCAAAGTAGCTAAAGATATTGGGGGAGCGGATGACATGCAGGTCTGGCTGAACAGTCACTCAGGCAAAAGTGTCAAGTGAGTGGGGGCTGGTAAAATGGGCTCCTGGTTGTCTCTGAACATTCTGGGATTTTCATTCATTATAATCTCTAATTTAGTGCCTACTTGGGTGGATATATGACTGGACCCAAGTAATTGGTTCTCAAGGCATAAGACCATGGAGAAGATAGAGTAGTGAAGAATGATAAAATGCAATGGCTCAGACTTCTCAGAGAGGAGAATGTGATGAGCCTCTCTGTTCTCTAAGAAGGACCAAACTCTGCAGAGAACACTCTCTCATTCAAGAAGATCTGGTCATCAGCTTCAGGGTCAAAGGGTTCATGTGATTAAAAAATTCTCTCTCTCAAATCAATAAAATGTTTTTATAAACATTTTTCTCTGCTGGAAAAGCACAAGTTAGTTTTGGGGCAGGGGTGCCAGACGCCTTAAATTAAGTGAGCTGTCTTCTATTTCAGAGCCTGTCCCACTTCCTACTATTGGACATATAGTAATCCCAAATTTAAGCTTGTGCAGACAAAGCCACCAACACACACTCTTAATCCTCCTACTCACTCAGTCAAGGAAATTTTGCCACTTCCAATCTGGCATTTCTCCCAGTCCTTGGGGAAATGGATTGTTGCTTCTCCTCCACCATTGCTTATTTCTTCTACTTTTTCTGTCCTGCCTGTGTTCTTCCTAATACTACCCCAGACACCAGCCCAGCCCACAGTTCCCCAGATCATACAAATAAATGATGATGGTGGTGATGATACTAGTAACTAATACATAGTGAAATGGGCTTGGTGCTTAGAGAACATCTTGAAGGGTAGAAGAATGGGCAGTTTCTGTTATTTTCTGAGCTAGATGAATATCTCAGTATCAATATTGACTTGGGGCTAGGACAAAAAAAATGGAGAGATTAAGGGTGTGTGTTAAGGGGGATTGGCCTGCAAGGATCTCAACAGAGTAGTTGTTCTTGCTGATGTTATTCATGAGGGTGAGGAGGGATTTCAAAATTAGACACCTTCACAGAATTGGTTTGGTGATGGAGACCAGCAGAGGCCCACTTTCCTCTGGCACCATCTTCAAGGAACTGTGAACTTATTACTCTTTCCTCTCTGCCTTTCCTAAGAATTACAAATATTAGGATGTATTGTAATTGTTTACCGAACACATCTCTCTCACTAGACTGCGAGTTCTTGGAGAGCAAGGATGATGTTGTTTTCATCTTTGGCTTACCAGCATCTTGCACAGTGCCGGGCATATAGCAAGTGCTCAATAAATATTTGCTAATAAGATAGCAAATCAGTGGTATCAAAATGAATGTTACTTCTTCCTTCCCATGGGGTGGTGGCTAGGAGTTGGCTGGATTTCTGCAATAACCTCCATTATACTGTCTTGCTCCCTCCAGATGACATCAGTTGCCAAGGTATATTACAGTCAGACCACTCAGACAGAAAGCCGGCCCCTAATGGGCCCAGGGATACGACGGCGAAGAGTTCTGACAAAAGATGGCCGCAGCAATGTGAGAATGGAGCACATTGCTGACAAGCGCTTCCTCTACCTCAAGGATCTGTGGACAACCTTCATCGACATGCAGTGGCGCTACAAGCTTCTGCTCTTCTCTGCGACTTTTGCAGGCACCTGGTTCCTCTTTGGCGTGGTGTGGTACCTGGTGGCTGTGGCCCACGGGGACCTGCTGGAGCTGGGCCCCCCAGCTAACCATACCCCCTGTGTGGTACAGGTGCACACACTCACTGGGGCCTTCCTCTTCTCCCTTGAATCCCAGACCACCATTGGCTATGGCTTCCGCTACATCAGTGAGGAGTGCCCACTGGCCATCGTACTTCTGATTGCCCAGCTAGTGCTCACCACCATCCTGGAAATCTTCATCACGGGTACCTTCCTGGCAAAGATTGCTCGGCCCAAGAAGCGGGCCGAGACCATCCGTTTCAGCCAGCATGCGGTTGTAGCTGCCCACAATGGGAAGCCTTGCCTTATGATTCGAGTTGCCAATATGCGTAAGAGCCTTCTCATTGGCTGCCAGGTGACAGGCAAACTGCTTCAGACCCACCAGACCAAGGAGGGTGAGAACATCCGGCTTAACCAGGTCAATGTGACTTTTCAAGTAGACACGGCCTCTGACAGCCCCTTCCTCATTCTACCCCTTACCTTCTACCATGTGGTAGATGAGACCAGTCCCTTAAAAGACCTCCCCCTTCGCAGTGGTGAGGGCGACTTCGAGCTGGTGCTGATCCTAAGTGGGACAGTGGAATCCACCAGTGCCACCTGCCAAGTGCGCACTTCCTACCTGCCCGAGGAGATCCTTTGGGGCTATGAGTTCACACCTGCCATCTCGCTGTCAGCCAGTGGCAAATATATAGCTGACTTCAGCCTTTTTGACCAAGTTGTGAAAGTGGCCCCTCCTAGTGGCCTACGTGACAGCACTGTGTGCTATGGAGACCCTGAAAAGCTCAAGCTGGAGGAGTCATTCAGAGAACAAGCTGAGAAGGAGGGCAGTGCCCTCAGTGTGCGTATCAGCAACGTCTGATACCTTGGTTTCCCACCTCCCTATCCCTCTAGTCTCGCTTCCTTTTTGGCACTCTGGGTGAGGATATTACCCAGGCTTACTGAAGAGTTCCAGAAGCACCATTCTCCACTCCCTCTCCTTTAACCCAGTGGCCTGTGGGTAGTCTTGGCCAACTGGAGTCCAATTTTTCCTCCCATTGTCCCCTTTCACCTCACCCACTTCCACTGTATTATTACCGCCCCCTCCACCCTCCTTAAGCCAGGATGGAGGAAAGAGAGGGAAGATTAGGCTGAAAGGCTTAGAGGCTTCTGGCATGCTTGGAGGCTCACATTAGAAGGACCATGCAATTGGATGGACAGATTCCCCCTGACCTACCACCACCACCAGAGATTTTGGTCATTTGAGGCTGGAGTCCCCTCCTTCTCTAACTTTTATCTAACAAATTCCCTAAGGCAATACTACGATGGTCCCCTAAGGTCTGTGTCCTCAGAAATATAGGAATCTGGAATCAATTTATAATGGGGTCTCCACCAACCTGTTGAAAGAAGTCATGATTTTTCCTGGTGAATTTTTGTTGGCAACTCCTGACTTAACCTAGGATCTTGGTCACAACTGTTTCACTTTTTTTAGTTCCTAAAGTGGACCATAAGGATACCCAGTTATTTCATAGATGCCTCTGCTCCCAGGAAATTGGGATGACCCAGGAAATAGAAAACCTATAGTCACAACCACCACACCTGCATCCATCCTGGATTCTGAACTCTTCAGTGTGGAGTGACCACTGCGAAGCTATTGTCCAAATCCTTGAACCTGTCCTTCAGGTAGCCCTAAGAGGATTGGTTTCTCTGTGTCCTATGAATGGGATGCCCCTCACCAATATGCTCCCCTGAAAAATGCCAGTGCCTAGACTCCATGGTAGGTCTGGAAATGGTGTTCCAAACTACACTGTCCTTGGCTTCTCTTCGTTCCAGCCCAACCCACTCTTCCCTTAACCCCAACACTTCAGAGGGAGGGAAAATGCAAGAGCCTCCCTCTCTTAACACTGATGTTTGACTAAAACTACACTCACAGAGCAGAGTTCCCAGGAAAGTTAAACCAACCAGACCAAGTAGGATGAGTAAATTATCAGATTTCCAGACTGTTGTATAGAGCCTCTGGGAATTGGGATGCTTTGTTTAAGTCTGGACAGAAGCACAACTCTGGCCGGCAGTTACCCCTCCCAGTTCCCATCTGCAAAGTGCCAACTATTTCATGAGGTAATGCTGGGAAAGGAAATGATACCTCCTGGTTAAATAACCACGGTCTCCCTCAGTCATTCCTGAGACGTGTTATAAAATGAGCATCAATCTCATTTTTACTTTCCTGTGCCACGAGGCCAGTTTCAGACAAGTTAAAAGGCATAATTTCAGAGATCAGACTCAGGCCATTCCTTGTTTCCTGCTGGGAACTGTGGCAGGGGTCAGGAAGGGCATAAGGGCACCAGAACTTTTTCTAATACCCCAAATCCCAAGAGTGCTTCCTGGTCTCATTTAGGTACAAAGGAACCCCACCCCCAATCCCAATGGTTTGGCATAGAGTCCCTGTATGAATCAAGTGGCAGTTTATTTAAGGTGGACTCAGCCAACTGTTACAAGCTACACACTTCTACAGAATATGTACATACATCTATGTGCAGAGCCTTGCAGAGAAACTCATAAAATTTTGAGGTGGACTTATGGTCACCAGTTACTACAGCTGCACAAGATTCTCTTACATTGATCTCTTCTTGAACTCTAATTATATCTTGAAAATGAAGACCCTTTGTTCTCCATTTACTGTAAACCCCCCGCACCCCCCTCTTCCCTCCCTTGTTCTTAAGAAAGAAAGAACCAGAAAAACTTGAAAGTCTAAACAGAATAGAAGGCAAAGAGCCAGTTTCTGGGCTCTCAACTTTATTCAATGTTAGACTTACTGGCTTTCTTCCAATGGGTAAGGGCAATAAGTACTGCGTGTATATATATATGTCTTCTTATCCATTAGCAAGTTAGCCTCCATCCAGTTTCTCCTGCACACTGCTGCTTCCCTTCTGAGGGAATCGCACTCTTCCCACCCCCTGATGTCTATTCTAAGCCCCCAGATTCTCCTCTCATTGGATAACAAAATGAGAATATTTTCTGACTTTTTGATTCTCCTCTATGATCCCAGATTTTGCTCTAAATTGCACTTTAAATCATACTGTCCTTTTAGTACAACCTGCTTTATTCTCCCATAAGCCCCCCTCTTCTGCCCTCCAGAACAACACCCCCATGGTCAACCCTAAATGGTTCTTCAGACTATAGCCCCCATCTCTTCTGAGCTGAAATCCTCTTTTAGGCTTTAGAAGCAGCCAGGTCTGGTGAGAAATGAAGCCCTTAACCACACCAACCATGGACTTGGCATGTCAGGAGAGCACTAGGCACAGATGTTAAGGGGGGAGATTTCAGAAGATGGGCAAAACAACTGATGATAGCAAAACAAAAGATGAGAAAGTGCACTATTGAGGAACTTAGTGAAACTGATGAAACCCTTGAGTTTTACGTGAGCTAGCAAACAAGAGGCAGGTGGAGGCTCAGGAAATTAGGATATGATATGTATGAAAGGTTTATCTAGAGAAACAGATCATATATATATATGTATATAGAGAGATGTATATAGAACCAAATATATTGAATGTACAGAAAGGAAATGTTCAGAGATTTTAGCACGGGGCAAATATCTTGCTCTGGTTTTGGGGTAGGGCTCCCCAGATTTCCAAACTTAACAGTGATGCTAGTTTTAATATGAAAGTGATCTGAAGAAGGCTTTCAGGTGTGATTATGGCAGAGTGGCGCAAGATTCTCTTCAGAAATAAGAGGCATCCACTGAGGCTTCTCATAAAGCCTGTGTTGCTGATAGGACCAGGGACACAGGAGGAAAAGGGGACACTCCATCCATAGAAATCTAGGAGAATCCCTACTTTTACTGTGTGCTCCTATCCTCAGAAGTGTCCTGTCATTGTGCACTTTTAAAAATTTTAAATAAAAGCATCCTTCTGTTTCCCTCTCTTGAAGTACACATGAATTTCCTCTTTTTCCACAAGGGTGGGGCAAATGCAGCTCCAGTCCCTGGAGGCCATGGCTCTTCAACTTCGAAGCTGAACCCTTTGGTGTGTGGAGGCACTAAAGAGGAGCCTTGACCCTAGAATCTAAAGGCCAGGATGAAAGAGGTGTTGGGTCCAAGATATTCCAAAGGCAGAGGCTCGCCCTGTATGTGGCTGCAAGAAGCCCAAAGAGAATGCTGCCTGTGCTAGAGGTATCCTGAGTCCCGGTCCTACATTTGGGCACGGGGGCAGAGTGCTTTGGCTTTGATGCTTCTGTATGAAAATGAGTGGGGTACCAGCTGCCCTAGGGGATTGTGCAGTTACATGAGAGGCTTCTGAGATCCCTACTCTGTGCTTCACCTCATTATTCCCTCAATCTCTGTCAGCTAATAAGACCATCCTGGGATTTCCATAAGGCCTTAGCAAAGAAAGGAAGACAGTTTTACTAGTGCTACAAGCCAGGGACACTGCCCCCTCCCAAGGCTGCTACCCTGGTCCTTTACCTGTGCTATTTAACCTAATTTATTTGTAAAATAACACACGATGTTTGCGGTAAAGTTAGCATGGGCCTCCAGGCTCAGTAATGGCCAACTCTACTGAAGCAAAAGTATCTAGGGATAGTTTTCCCAGCCATTGCATCCAAGACTAAAGTAGGTCAAATTTACCTAGAAAAGAGATGTGTGAGATTTTTTTGGTTTATTTTTGTCTGTTCAGAACAAGCTACTAAATAAAATGGATGAATCTCTGTTCTTCACTCTAGCTTCTTTTGGAAATCCAAACCAATCTATGATTAAGGCCTGAACTCACAGGCCTACCTGGAAAGAAGACTGAATTTGGCTGTGCTGGAAGAACTTATGATCATGTGGCCACACCTGTTCCCTTCATTGCTAGTATCCATTCCTGCTACACCTTTCCTATACCTTCCTTCATTAACTTTAGGGTCCTTTAGTAAACACCTTTCAAATTCAGTTTTTAAAGGACAAGATTTTTTTAAGACCCAGAAATCTGAAAATTGGCTCAGCTTAATCTAGGAAAGTCAAGTAGCTTTGGATCCTGGGCATTGTCCCTTTGCCAGTGATCACATGCCCAATTTCCCTTCCATGTTACCATAGAGACATTCCTCAAGGCTCTATAAGCCTAATCAACTAATTGTTGGGTATTTCTTCCCCCACGTCTCAAAGGAATGGATTTCCCTCCTATTCCTATTTGTCACTAACCTGAAAAAGGCCTGGTTCAATATCTAGTCCTAAATTCTCTCTGACAAGAGCAACAGATACCAGTCACTGACTCTTGTTCCCCAGAAATGGAAAGACCGAGGAGAAAATTGGGACTCCTATCATCATCAATAAAATACTTATCTATATTTGGAAAACACTAGTTCACAGATGAATCATACGACATATGTGATATATAAGATATATGAAATACAGTCCCTTAAAGTTTAAGAAACTTACAAACTTGTGAGGAGGGCAAGCTAAAATAGCAAGTAGCATTCACTAAGGGCCAGATATACCATTAACAACATGTTCCAAATAGTGAGATCTCTGTGGAAAACATTTCACAGGGACAGGTATTAGGCAAGAGATGGTATCAACCTAACAGTTCTGGTTAGAACACATTTAACATAAGATTCAAGAAAAATCAGCAAATACTGAGTTCCTGTTAGGTGGAAGGTACCATTCAAGTAATAAATAAAGAAAAGACATGATACACACCATAAAGGGATGCACAATCATATTAGAATTTGCACCTGCTTCTATGGAACGATCCCTACTGCTTGCCAACCCCCAACCTTGGTAACTCTCACTATGCCCATCTTAGACCAAACCCATTAAAAGCTATCATTACACCCTGTATTCCTTTCATAGTTCTTACCACAGCTGCAATTTTATATTACTTGTAAATTTATTTGCCTGATGTTTGTCTTGCTCAGACATTAAATGCCATGTAACTGGGATTCATGTCAGTATTTGATCACCATGAACCTAGTGACCAAGCCCAGCACTTAGCACAGCACCTGCCATGTATGATGCTCAACAAAAGCAGCAAAAGAAGAAGAGGGAGGGAAGGAACTTGCCTAAAGTTCACACAACCAGTATACCACAGAGTTAGTATATTTGTTAAACAACCATAAAAGATTTATATATTTCATAAGGCATGGCATAATCAGCTACTAAAAAAATGGAAAAGACAATAATACCACTGTTTGGGAGAGAGATCATTTCCACTTGTTAAGGTCTGAAGAGTTTACAGAGGAGTTGAGGTTGGAGTTTAGCATTAAAGGACAAATAGTATTTAAATAAATGAAGAGAAATACAATTCCTTGTAGGTGGTACAGCATGAGCAAAAGTACTGTAGGAAGAAAGCACAAGGCATTTAATGGGTAGTTAATAAACCTAGAATTAAGGGTTTTATAGATGAATAAGTTGAAAAGGTAGGATAATGGAAGGATTAAATGTCAGGCTACATAGTTTATTATTTATTCATAGGCAGCTGGGAGATATTGAAGATTTTTGAGAAAGGATGGAGTCTAATTAAAGTACTGATTATGAATATCAATCTGGCAGTAGAATCTAGAGACAGGAGACACTAAACCAGTTAAGAGACTTGCAAAAGATTGGGGGGAAAGGTAATTGTCACAGATCCTACGACAGTATAGGTATTCAATCATTACATTGAGTTGTGGAAGGCCTGGACTAAGGATGCTGAGCATAAAAATTAGAAATAGATTCAAAAGAAATTACAAAGTAGGAAATGTAAGCAAGATCTAGCAAAAAAAAAAAAGGGAGAGATTTAATTAGTCAGGATTTTAGCTGGAAACAGATGGCACACTCAAAAGGCTAACTGGGCATGGTTTAATGAAGGGATTATTTACAAAGGTGTGGCCTGGGTTAATAAACCAAATAAGGAATAGTGAAGCATCCAGGGACTCACAACAGTAGGAAGCCTTTTCCTGTTTTAAACCTAAAGGGATAGTTATTGGAAGAGTGAGAGTTGTAGCAAAGGGAGAGGGCTATAGCTGCAGTGGAAGCCATGGCCTTAGGTAGAGAACTCAGCCACTAACAAAGATCTGCTAGTGCCTCTCATTGATTGATCTGTACTAATAGGAAGCCAGAGCAAAAGGAAGCCTATGTGATGCTGCCCACAGAGGTCAACCACGTAGAGCAGACAGGGCAGAAGGATGGAGAGTGGATCTGAAAAGGTAATGAGAGCATATACAGCAGTGACCAAGGTCAAGGTCCTGGCTAAGGATGCTAGGGATGAGCCATCCATGTCTGTGCTTTCCCTAGCCATTCACTCTAATGAATGGAAGCCTAGAGGCAGACAGTGAAAGGTGGAATTAGGAAGAGCCAATGAACAGTTAGTTAAGCATATGAAAAAAATGTAGCTTTTTCAGGGAGAGGTAAGAAAATAGAATTCTAAGCCCAATGCAAAAAGCTCAACATGGGGTCCTTAGACTCTGTGAAGGTCTCTTACCTAGAAATAGTAATGAAAATAAAGCTGCCCTGTCCAACTTATTTAATTGGATTCCAGTCTCTTCTTCATTCCCACTACTATCTACAACTCACATCTTTAGATTTCAGTAATCTCAAATTTAGTTTCTTTTGATTAGTTGTTTCCTTATCTGCCCAAATTAGGTGTCTTACAACTCTTTATTAAGTCAGCTCTATAGAGACAAATTGGCAGAGGCCTTTCTACCATACCACCTAAACCAACCCAGCCAGTGGAACCCTTACTTATTTAACCCTCAGACGTCTACTTCCCATATCCTCTACTTTCTGGGACTAAGTCTCATTTTTCTGGAAGAGGAAATGAATAAATCAGAGATAGAGTCACAGAGAAACTATCAAAAAGATTCAGATAAGAGATCAATGAGAGGAGGCAGAGAAGGAAATCAGAATTCATCATCAATATTTTATTTTATTTTTTTAATATATTTTATTGATTTTCTACAGAGAGGAAGGGAGAGAGATAGAGAGTTAGAAACATCGATGAGAGAGAAACATCGATCAGCTGCCTCCTGCACATCTCCCACTGGGGATGTGCCTGCAACCCAGGTACATGCCCTTGACCGGAATCGAGCCTGGGACCCTTCAGTCCGCAGGCCGACGCTCCATCCACTGAGCCAAACCGGTTTCGGCCATCATCAACATTTTATTTGCAGGTTAGCTACATAGTGATTAAGAATAGTCTGGACAAAAAAATAATAATAATAATAACAATAATAATAATAATAGTCTGGGCCAGACAGACAGACCTGCTTTTGAATCCCCGCTCTGTCACTAGCTCATTATGTGACTTAGGAACATTACTTAATATCCCTAAGCCTTAATTTCTTCATTTGTAAAGGTCAAAATATCTATCATACATTTTAAGTAATTAGCACAATGCCTAGCGCATTGCAAATAATTCCTCAACAAAGCTGGCTATTAGAAATCATCATCAGCATTATTATTCTTTAAATGGTGATGTGCTGTCCTCATATATATGGCTATTATAATGCAAAAAAATGGTTAAAAGTAATTATCAACATAGGGCATATAATTACACAAAGGCACATACTAGTAAAAGGGCAGAGATATAAGAATATGGAATATGAAAGAGTAACATGGTTCTTCCAAAGTATAAATTGTATGATGGATGAATGGAGGGTATTTCTGGGAGCTGCATGCTCAGACTGGATAGAATCTTCTATTCTCCTTATCCTAGTTTAGAAGACTTGCTCTAGGATGCCCATAAAATCAAGTAAATCAGCATTCACTGAACATTGACCATATGCCTGAGACGGCAATGATTAATTGAAAAATTAAGGATAAGATATAATTTCTAACCTCAAAACCCCTACAATCTCATTGATAGGGTTATGAATACAATCTAAAGTAAATTATGAAATTCTACAATACCGACTATAAGTGGAGTACATGCCCCCAGAAGGGAAACAGCTACAGGATTAAAGTCCTTAGTGAGAAATTCACGGAAGTAGGGTTGAAGTGGGTGGGTGAAGGGGGCAGGACTGGAGCTAGGTAAAGGATATTTCGGAGAAAAGGACTGGGAGTTGGGAGCACCTCGAGGATGCCACTCTAGAAGAACTTTGGTAATAGGAACGTGTGTTAGATGCTGAGGGACAGAAAAAGACAAAATAACCTCTGACCTCAAAGAACTCAAAGTGCCCTGATGGAAAACTAGGAAAGCGAAACACAAAAAATCAGTTATCACGAAGCAATGTGACAAATACAATGAAGGACGGTCATTCCAACATGGAGTTCTGGAGCCCTGGGACAGGACAGCAGGCACTGGACAAGGCTTTCATGTAGCAGGGCAGGGCCTTCTGTGCAAATGACTTTCTAGAGCTTAGCGCCCCCTGCCCTTGTCCATCTACCCTCAGCTAACGGAGGGGCCTGCCCTTTAAACAACATTACCTGGCGGTGAGCCAGGATATGCCTTTAGGCGCCAACACGGGAGCCGAGGTCTGAAGGATGGAGTAGGGACGGGGAGGGGAAGGCAATCTTGGCGGAAAGAAGAGCAAATACAGTGGCGGAGAAGAGACTGACAGTTTAGGAAGGACGAGGACTCCCCGTCCTTCCCATCCCTCCGCCTAGGGTTGCCTAAGTTCGGATTTAGATTTTAAAAAAAAACCTGGTAATTTCAAAATACTTATAAGTATGTCCAAATACTGCGTGGGACGAACGCTCCGGGCTCCCTTCACCTCCTCCTAGCCCGTCCCGGGGCTCACCAACCCGTGGGACCCGCGAGCGGGCGGAGGAAAGCACGAGGGAATAGCACAGGTTTAACTCTCCCTCACTCCATCTTTCACGCTCTGGTTTCCGCCCAGGCCCGAGGAATTTAGCTCACAGCTCGCTCCGCTTCGGTGGTCTGGCTCCGCCGACTGAAGTTAGGGCGGGAAGAGAGAAGGGCTCACTCATACAAGAAACACCAACTCCGCTCGGCGAGAGGACAGCCCCGCAAGCGCAGACCGGCAAGCAAGCGGAAGTCGCCTTTCCCCGCGACCAGAAGTCCCGCCCCTTCCGGAGGAGGGCCTAAAGCATGACAGCCAATCCAGAGGAAGGAAATACTCTGGCTGCGGCGACTGGGAACTGGGCCTGGGGCTCGCGACCGGAAGCAGCCCGGGGGCGGGCCTCATGCTGGAAGTGCTTGCCACCAGGCTGGTTCCACCGCTTAGGTGGTGGGAGATGCGCGGGCGGCCGCAGGCGAGGAGCCGGGTCGGAGGTCCGCAGTCCGGAGGCAGGTCGGCTGTGGGACGGAGCGGTGCCCCGCCGTCAGACCATGGCCCCGACCCAGCCGTGGGGAGAGCGGTTCCTGAGCCTGCGGGTGACCCCCGCCGGGGTGTTCGGCGTGGCCTTCCTCGCCCGAGTCGCCCTGGTTTTCTACGGGGTCTTCCAGGACCGCACGCTGCTCGTAAGGTACACGGACATCGACTACCAGGTCTTCACAGACGCCGCGCGCTTCGTCACCGAGGGGCGCTCCCCGTACCTGCGGGCGACCTACCGCTACACTCCCCTGCTCGGGTGGCTCCTCACCCCCAACATCTACCTCAGCGAACTCTTCGGGAAGTTTCTCTTCATCAGCTGCGACCTGCTCACGGCTTTCCTCCTATACCGCCTGCTGCTGCTCAGGGGGCTGGGGCGCCGCCAGGCGTGCGGCTACTGCGCCTTTTGGCTGCTTAACCCGCTCCCCATGGCGGTGTCCAGCCGGGGCAACGCGGACTCGATCGTCGCCTCGCTGGTGCTGACGACGCTGTACCTGCTGGAGAAAGGGAGCATCGCGGAGGCCGCGGTGGCCTATGGGTTCGCCGTGCACGTGAAGATCTACCCCGTGACTTACATCCTTCCCATAATCCTCCACTTGCACCCCGTGCGCGGCAGGGACCCGAGCCCCCGCGCCTCCCGGCGTTCCCTCCAGGCCGGTTTGCGCGCCTTCCTGACGGGGCTGTGGGATCCGCCTGTGCTGCTCTTTGTAGCGGTGGCCGGGTTCACCTTTGCCGCCCTGAGTTTCGGTTTTTACTGTGCATACGGCTGGGACTTCCTGGAGCACACCTACCTCTACCACCTGACCCGGCGGGACATCCGCCACAACTTCTCCCCGTACTTCTACATGCTGTACCTGACCGCCGAGAGCGCGGGCGGCGTTGCCCTGGGCCTGGCGGCCTTCCTGCCCCAGGCTGTCCTGCTGGCGGTGGTGTCTTTCGCCCACCACAGGGACCTTGCCTTCTGCTGCTTTCTTCACACGGCCATTTTTGTGACGTTCAACAAAGTCTGCACCTCGCAGTACTTCCTGTGGTACCTCTGCCTGCTGCCCCTGGTGATGCCGCTGGTGCGAATGCCCTGGAGAAGGGCGGTGGTGCTCCTGGGGCTGTGGTTCGCGGGGCAGGCCCTGTGGCTGGCACCGGCCTATGTGCTTGAGTTTCAAGGAAAGAACACCTTTTTGTTTATCTGGTTAGCTGGCTTGTTCTTCCTTCTTATCAACTGTTGCATCCTCATTCAGATCATTTCCCATTACAAGGAGGAACCGCTGGCGGGGAGACGCAAACACGACTAGTGTATGCTCCGGTTCGTCTGCCACTTCCATCTCTTACGTGCTGATGGTTCTGAATGGACCAGAAGAGAGCTCTGGACAAATGTTGAGCATCCTAAGCACGCCTGTGAAAGTTCAGTTTGGAGCCTAATACCTGTTCCAACGAATTAAGATAAATGTTTACCTTATGTGTAAAGGGGACTCAGAAATTGGGGTCCACCTTTAGGAAATGGAAGGGCTGTTTAAAAATGGAAGGGCTAATTAAACTTTCGGATGTTAAAAGGTTTTTTGTGTGTTTTTTTTTAAGAAAAATACAGGAATGTGGTCAAACATATAAGGTCTAAGCCAATATTCCAGTTATACTATGCCACTGTCAGAAGCAGTCTTATCTTTTAACCCCCACTGTTTCCATCTAAAGCTCTCACGATAGCTGTAAAAACTCACAAAATGTCCCTAAAGTACAGATTTTAGATATGAATTGTTAAGTACCAGTACTGTGTTTAGGTTGGCAAAGTTAATTCTGTATTAATGGGGGCTTAGAAGATAAAGAATCCAAAGAATTTAAATTATAATCATGTTTCATGTACAGGTATTTCTTTTACAGCTTAGTTTTTCAACACTTAGTCCCAGTTGTATTAGATTACCTTTTGGTTTTATACCAAAGGGATTAAATTTAAATTCATCCATTTTTAAATTTGAATCATTACATATCTTAAAATAGCATTTTGCTTTTGATGTTTGAGGTCTATAAACTATTAGGACATTTTACCCTTTGTTTTTAATTTTCTGATACTAAAAATATTTTTCATTTAGAATTTCAGTGTTAATCTATATTGTAAAAATGAACATTGGTAGATTTTAGGTGATTAAAAAACAGATTGTTAGCAAGACATTTCCCAGCTTAAAAGTACCCCAATTATGAAAATTCCATAATAGAAATAGAGACCTGCACGAGAGGCTCCTGGAAAGTGTAAGAAGCATCCAAAGTGTCCATTAGTCTCAGACCAGGAAATTGAGGGACAGATAGTGGAAATGAGGATTTGCAGATCCAGTTCCCTTATTACTACAGTATTTCTGGGGTAAAAATGCTTTCTGAGTTTCAACCAATCACCCTTAAAACTTTTTTTTTTTAACATAGCCCATTAGGTTGGGGATTCCCTAACACTAACCTGCAATGGTAATATATGAGTTTGACTTTTTGATTGTGATTTTAAAAGATGAGTATTTTAACAACATTGTTTTTTCACAGTAGACAACAATAACAAACAAACAAAATTTCTCCAGAGTAGTATATTGTATGTCAGGCCACGCCTAAAAAAGCCTTTGAGAACAAGATGTCTGTAGGCTGTTGCAGCGTTTTGATGGATATCTTTTGAGACATGCTATTAGAAAAAAGGGAAGAATGTTGGCTTTGCATGGGTTGCTGTTTTTGTGAAAATAACAGACAACTGAGGACTGACTTTCTTATATCCCACATTAGGTATTATCTTGTAGTCTCTTAGTATATGACTGCTCACTAGTGACCTTCCAGCCATGTCATTCTTAACTTCATTTTTTTCATTCTTTTATAATAGTAATTAAAATATTTTTGGTAGAACTGGCAGGGAAAGGGGTGGGTAACAGAAGTTTAACATCCTAATATAATTATCTTTTTGGTATTCCAACCTTTTTAAAAATAGTCATATTTACTTATTAATTTTCTTTTTCCCCCAACATTTTTATTGTGGCTTACTCTTCATAACTACATTGAAATTACATGGAAGTTAACCTTGTAAATGCATCATTCTTACACTATGAGACCTTTAAGATTACTTTTAATATTCTAAATAAGACTTTAAACATTTTTCATGTTTTAGATCATTCCCTTAACATTCTTAGAAGTCAGTAGAGTTCTGTTGGGGTCTTTGAAGGGAACTTCAATTCCAGGTCCTGCCCTGCAAGAAATTCTCTACCAAAGAACTATAGGCATCTCTCTTTTAAAAAAAAAAAAAAAAATTTATTGATTTTTCACAGAGAGGAAGGGAGAGGGATAGAGAGTTAGAAACATCGATGAGAGAGAAACATCAATCAGCTGCCTCCTGCACACACCCCACTGGGGATGTGCCTGCAACCAAGGTACATGCCCTTGACTGGAATTGAACCTAGGACCCTTCAATCTGCAAGCCGATGCTCTATCCATTGAGCCAAACCGGCTAGGGCTAGGCATTTCTTAAAAGGTGCAGAGAGTGCCCGGCCGGCATGGTTCAGTGATTGAGCGTTGACCTACAAACCAGGAGGTCATTGTTCAATTCCCGGTCATGTCACATGCCTGGGTTGCAGGCTGCATGCATCCCCAGTGTGGGGCGTGCAGGAGGCAGTCAAATGACTCTGTCATCATTGATGTTTCTATCTCTCCCGTCCTCTCTGAAATCAATACAAATATTTAAAAAACAACAACTCCTTTTTGAGTCTAGAGTTAAACCTTTTCCCCCAACCTAATGGATATAGGAAAAGAACCTGGATTTGTACTAAATAATTGTTTTAACTACCTGTTACTATTAACTTTATTCCTTCTGATCTCGATCTGGTTTTTTGAAATGGTAGTAGTTATACATGAAGATGTCTGGTTCCGTCTTGACAATTTTGTATTTGTGTATTCCTGCCATAAATTAGCTGACTCTAATGAGTGGAGGTTTGGCTCACGCCCACAGATTACACAGCATTTCTTTTCTCCATTGTGTTGAGGGGTCATCCAGGGATTGATGGAAGCACATGTCTTCTGCCTGGATCAGAATCATCAGAGTAGCACAAGCATTTATTCAGCACTGACCCAGGAGAACCATTCATTTAGTCAAAACAAACATTCATATTCATTATCCTGAACAAAAACACACTAAATGGGAATGTTTCTAGCTGCTCAGACACTTTGCTAATTATATCTGTGATATAAAATAAAATGACACTTATAGCAACTATTTAAAAATAAGAGTATGAATATTTGAAGCTCAGTTCATTTCACAAAGGAAATTTTCAACCTTCTCGGTTGTCCATTCTTGTGGCAATTATTTATAGATTTAGGCCCTGTGCTGAGTCTTGTAATAGATGAGTAAGATAATGTCCATGCTCTTGATGAATTAACACTAAAGACTAACATAGCTTATTAATAAAATGCTATACCTTAGCTGGTTTGGCTTTGTGGATAGAGTGTTGGCCTGCGAACTAAAGGGTCCCAGTTCGATTCTAGTCAAGGGCACATGCCTGGGTTGTGGGCTCGACCCTCAGTAGGGGGTGTGCAGGGGGCAGCCGATCAATGATTCTCATCAATGATTCTGTCTCTCCCTCTCCCTATCTTAAATCAATAAAAATATATTAAAATAAATAAAATGCTATATGAGACCCTATTCCACAATAGTAATGTGATTTGTAAAATGGCAAAGTAGAGAATAATACTCTTACTAGTTTACAGGTTAGAAAATTGAGGCTCATAAACAAATGGCTTTCCAAGGGCAAATACCTTGTAAATGGCAAGACTAACAATTCTACTGTATTTTGCAAGTCCTTAATTCCATATGATGACGGGTGATTACAATGAAAAACATTTACCAAATGTTACTTAGGAAACTACCTAGCAAAAGGCTGTGTCTTCTATGTGCCAGGCATTGTTCTAGGTATTTTGGGTACAGCTGTGAGGCACTCTCTCTTCATGGAGCTTACGGTTTTATGGGACACAAAGGATGAGCAAGTACATGATTGTGATGATTGTCATAAAGAAAAACTAAGGCAAGCTAAGGAAGTAGAAAGCGATGGCAGGAGAGGAGTGGATGCTGTTTTAGATAAAGTACTTAGGGAAGGCATCTTGAGGTGGCATTTGAGCAGAGACCGAAAAGAAGTGAAGACATGATATCCATGTAGCTATCTGGGGGAAAGAGTATACCTTGCTGAGTGAAAAACAGTGTAAAGGCACTGAGAGAGGAATGAGCTTGGCATGTTTAAAATACAGCAAGGCCAAGCCAGCATGGCTCAGTGGTTGAGTGCCGACCTATGAACCAGGAGGTCAGGGTTCAATTCCCGGTCAGGGCACACTGCCCAGCATTTCGGGCTTAGTCCCCAGTGTGGGGTGTGCGGGAGGCAGCCAGTCAGTGATTCTCTCTCATCATTGATGTTTCTATCTCTCTCTCCCTCTCCCTTCCTCTCTGAAGTCAATAAAAATATATTTTAAAAAATAAAATACAGCAAGAAGGTGTGTATAATGAGTTGGAGTGAGCAAGGAACAAACAGGATGTAATTCACAGCATACAGTAGGACAACATGAATGCTAGTTGAAAAATACATTTTACACTAGCATTTTTACCACCCTGTAACAATAACTTTGGGCTCAACCTATTCCCCCCCTCCCCCGACTGAGCACAGATTAATTTGTAAGAAAGATGAAACATAGAAACAACTTATATTTCAGCAGTGCTACAAAATACTTTCACACATTATTTTGAGACATGAAGATTTTTTTTTTAAATTCTGGTTTTATAAATGAGAATCCTAAGTCTCAGAATATATGCATTTTGTCCACGGTCAGAGTTAGTACACGAGACAGGGCCAGAATCCAGATCTTCCAGAGCCAAATTTACTACTGTTTCTGTTCTGCCCTTGTCATTTAGATATGGTGAGAAAAGGACACCATGGGCCCTAGAAGGCAAGACATTCAGGAAAAAGTTGTTCACCAGATCATTCATTTAGCAAACACTTATTAAGAGCCTGCTTGGTGCCAGGCACTAAGTTAGGCTGGAAGTATGATGATCATGATAACAGTCCTGGCTCTGAGGAACTCACGGTATCTAATAGAGGACACAGATGGAAAGGTGATGACGCTGTGACAATGGCTAGAGTGAAATATATGAAGTAGTTGGGAGCACTTCACTAATGCATCAACTGGACAAGGCTAGCACAGAAGTTGGTACACACTAGTGTTAATTACACAAGGAGGTCATTAGACCGAGGTGGTTCTAAGACCTCAGCAGCCTACGCAAGCAAACCCAAGCCTGTAAATGCCTCAAGGTTAAGAGATTGAAACCTAAGGACAATGAATCACCAACAGCCAAGTTGGCTTTCCCAAATGATGCAACAGCACGTTGGTGGTATAGTGGTGAGCATTCCAAATAATGCAACAGCCTAACCTACAGCCAATCAACAATGCCCTGGCTTTGCTTCTGCCTCTTCTCTAGAGAAGTCTTGGTTCTAGCTCCTGTGGGTGGCGCACTCCTAGCCCCTTCCAGTTTGACTTGCTCAATTTGAATCACGTTTTGTTC